TGGGCGTCCGCGAGCCGGGCTGCGACAGTGGGTCGCGGGGCGGCAGCTGCGGCGGGCGGTCGTCCTCGCCCCCTGAGGCCGGGGACAGCTCCCCTGACCAGCGCCCGTGCTCGTTGCACCGCAGAGGCCGGGGCGGGATGGGCACACGGGGTGGCACTTGTGGCTTGTCCTCGCAGGGGCTGGGTGTGGAGGCCAGAGAGCCGGGCCCCGGGGGCACGTGCAGACGCTTCATGCACTCCTGCTGCAGCTCCTCGAAGATCTCCGTGGTCTGCGACAGGCTGGGCTGCTTGGCCGGCTTCGGGGGCAGGAAGAGGTTATCCTCCAGCAGCAGCGAGCCCCTCTCCGCAGCTGCCGCTGCATTCTCGCCCTCGAAGCCATAGTTGGTTTCACCTCTGTCCCAGGCGTGGGGAGGCCCTGCCAGCCCGTGTTGGGCGGCTCGCGGCCCGCTCAGGGCCTCGGCGCTGTTGATGGAGCACACCTCGAAGTCGTCCTCGTCCTGAGCCACGTCGTCGTAGGCGGGAGGTGGCGGCAGGGGCCGTGCGTCCCAGTCTACCACTGGCGTGGGGTGCAGCGGCCTGGGCAGCGCTCGCGTGGGGCTCTGGGGGGGCGTCTTGTCCAGCAGCGAGAAGGCCTCCATGGCCAGCCTGGCGAGGGACGGGGCGCCCAGCTCCCTGCCGGGTGAGGGCGTCAGGGGGGGCAGCTCCTCCTCGAAGTCGATAAGCGTCACCTCGCTGCCTGGTGCCGTCTCCCCCTTTGCCCGGCCGGTCTGGCGCTCACCCACCTTGGTGCCTGGCACGCGGGCCGACGGCTTCACCAGTCGCAGCCCCCGCGGTGGGCCCGGCTTCTTCAGGCACAGCCTCTTGAGCCCTGCAGAGAGGCCGTCGTCGTCCTCGCTGACGGGGTCGTACGAGGGCTCTGGAAGGGGGAGCGAGAGTGAGGCCGTGGTGGGGCGAGGGCACCCCCCCTCGCCCGGGTGGAGGGAGCTGAGGCAATGCCCCTCCAGCCTCAGGGCTGAGGGAACAGGCAGGGCTGTGGCCAGGCGCTGGGACGGCACCGCTCTGCCCATGCCCTTCAGACCAAGCCTGGGTCCCCCAAAATCCCCCTCCTAGCCCAGCTCCCCACACTCTGCACATGCCCCTTGCTCCCAACCCCCACCCCCGCCTAGCTCTTCCAATCCTGCCCCTGCCCAGGCTCCTCCTGAGCCCCGTGCCACCCATGACGGGCTCTGGGGTGCAGGACGAGGCACCCCAGACCCAATTCTCCCTCATGCCCCAGGGCAGGGACTGATATTAGGATCCCCGAGCAGCCGGCCCCCTCCTGCCTGTGCCCAGCCGAGCTGGGGTCAGCCTCTGCTCGAGTCAGCACTGTGCCACTGCCGTCTGGGAGGCAGCATGCTGCATGCATCAGCCCCCGTGCTCTCCCCGCCCTCCCAGCATGTGGGACGTGCCCCGTGGGCTGGACGCTCCGGCCTCCTACCTGGCCTCGCTGCGCCCGACGCCTGAGGCAGGAGGAGGGTTAGTACGTGCAGCACAGAGCACCGCAGTCCCATGCAGTTAGAGCCCTGCCGCAGAGACCCCTGATATGCTCGGGGTTGCCAGCTGAGAGGGGGCCAGGCTGGGACCTTGGGGGGGTCCCGCATGCTGCAGGGGGAGAGGCTGAGAGTGGCCTGGCGTAGAAAGGGGCTTCGAGGGAACCCCGGGTGTGCGCTCATGGTCTGCCCTTCCCTTCCAGGGAACCGTGGCAGAGCTGGAGTAGGGTCAAAGCCAGGAGACAGCAGTGCAGGGGGCCAAGGAGAAGTCCCTGCAGGCATGAGTGCATGAGGGCAAGCAAGAAGCCCCTTGCCCCCTGCGGGGAGCAGCCCTGGGGGTCACTGAGCTGAGCTGCTGCAGCAGCGCCCTTCTCCCGGGTCCCTGCTCCCTCTCATGCAGGGTGTCTGTGTGCATGCAAGGTCTGCAGCCCTCTCGTCTGTCTGGCCGGCCCCCCGCCCCAGCACAGGGGTCTCAGGGCAGGAAGCGCACAGCACGCCCTGAGTACCTTGGAAGAGAGGAGCTAAGAGAGAACAGAGAGGGCAGGAGCAGGGCTGGCGGCACGCAGAACAGCCCCACTTACTCTTAAGCAGGATCGTGGGCTGAGGCGGCCGAGGCGGCGGCTCCCCTGCAGAAGAAAGGCCCCGAGAGGACGAGAGAGGAGGGGTTAGTCAGCCAAGCGCGCGCGGTGACACGGCAGCGCGGTGTCGGCACCGCAGGGTTAACCAGCACGGGGAGCAGCCCCCACCCTTGCCCCCATCCCCACGGCATGAGCCGGGGACGCCAGCTGTGGATGTGCGGCACCAGGCAGAGGCAGGCCTGGGCATCTCTCCTGCTCAAGGGGCTTCAGCAGCACGGGAGCCAGGGGGGTTTTCCCCCTTCCTGACAAGCAGCCCCTGGTGATGGGTAGTGACATCCCGGCCTGGAGCCAGCAGTGGCTGCCCTCCAAGGGCTCCTGAAAGCAGGTGCCGGAGGAGAGAGCAAGGAGTGAGAAAAGGAGAGTGAAAGGCAGCAGAGGCAAGGCTGGAGCAAGGGGGGCTGAAGGAGGCCGCGGCACGGACCACCCTTGACGGGGCGCATCTGGGCACACCCCAGCTGGGAGCCCCGGCTTTGCCCGGCCAGGGGCCCTGCTGATGGAGCCGCCCACCTGCTGTGCACTGCGCAGCCCCTGGAGACGGTGGGTTCCCGTACGCAGCGAGGGGGGAGCATGCGCCAGGGCCAGGCAGAGAGCACTGCATGCTGGAAGGGGTGAGCACGTCGGTGGCCAGGGCCACGCAGTACGGCCAGGCACCTGGGGGCTGGTATTGGGGGTGGGGGGGAGCAGCTCTTACTTTTAGCCCTTCCCGGGAGCTGGGTGGGTCTGGCCGCGTTCAGGTCCACGCCTAGAAGGTCTGGAGGGTCCATGGGATTTCCCAGGTAGAGCCTGCAGGAGAGAGCACACGGCGGGCACGGGGCCGTCAGCGCGGGGTCACGGGGTGCTTGCATGTCCCACCACGGCCCTGCTGGGTGCATGGGGGGTGGTGACGGGCACCGGACGGTTACAAGGTGCCAACTGTCTTGGCCCCTCAGGTGGGGAAGCAGCCCCAGGCCCCTCTCCAGAGGCAGGGGGATGTGTGAGCAGCAAGAGCCCCCACTCGCATTGCCCACCCCAGAGATCGTCGCCGCCAGAGTAGCTAAGTGACTTGCCCAAGGACAGAGCAGGAGCCAGTGGCAGAGCCAGGAACCTGCCCTGCACCTCCCAAGTGCCAGGGTGCTGCGAGATGAGGACACCACCATCCCGGGGCAAGAGGCTCCTGGAGACTGTGCTCAAAGGGGCACTGAATACTGCCCTTTCCTCCCCGGCCAGGTCTCCTCACCTGCCAGGCCGTCTGCCCACCACCCCACATCCTTCCCCATCCCGGCCTGCTGCCTGGGCCAGCTATGCCCTGGGCACCGTCCCCAGGCCTGGCCGGGTCCTGGGTGCTGTGCCAGGCCACGCCGAGCTCAGGCAGCGCGAGGGCAGGGCCCTGCGCTGCCGTGGGCGACCCGGGCGTGGCGAGAGTGGAGACAGCGCGAGAAGGAGGGAGGAAGGCAGGGCTGGGCGTGTGCTTCCGCTGCCTGGGTACATGCTGACCAGGACGGCACGTACCCACACCCACGCCCGCGTGGAGGGGTGGTGGGGCTCCGGCAGGGCACCGGGGGCAGGCTGAAGCCTGGAGAACCGGGTGGCACAACACAGCACGCTGCACTCCAGGGCAGGACCGAGCGGCATCGGCAGGGCTGTTGGGCTGGGAGAGCAGGGAGCTGTGGGCTGGGCCAAGGGCACTGGCAGAGCTCAGGCTGGCAGAGCAGGGAGCTGTGGCGTTGGGATTGGGGGGCTATGCCAGAACGGTGTGTGGGCAAGCCTGCCCGGTGCCTGCCCACCCTGCATTTGGCTCTGGCATCTCTGAGGCCTCGGCTTTTCAGAGCATTCAAACCAGCGCCAGAGCAGGAAGAGGCTCCAGCACGTGACATGGGGTCTTGCAAACGCTGCTTCTGGGAGCATCCTGCTGGCCAAGAGCTGCCGCCCCAGGCACGGGCCTCCCTTGTCCCCCCACAGGCAGCAGCAGCTTGTGGAGCTGAAGGACACTGGTGTCCTTCACAGGCCATGGGGGCACCTGCATCTTGCTCTGTCCCAGATGCCTGCCTGTCTGGCCCGGGCAAGGGGGTCGCTGCCCCAGCAGACCCCCCTTGAGTTAACAGCATCTGTAACTACTGGGAGGGGAGCAATCCGGGGCAGAGGGGCTGGCACGTCCCCAGTGCTGGCCCTCCAGGGAGCTGAGTGACGCGGACATAGGGGGGCAGGACATCGCGTGCCCCTGACACCCCAGAGATCTCACTCTGCGAGATCTGCAAAGCCAGCTGGGCTTGGGCCTTGTCCACTGGGCTGTTGGGAGTTGCAGGTACGTCTTTTCCGGCTAGGATGCAACAGAGCTGTGGGGAGGGGGTCCGTTAAGGAAACAAAGATTTGAACCCTCCACCCTGAAAACCGGCACGAAGTCTAAGGGGCCAATTCCTGCTGACGCACTTGGCAGGGATGGGCTGGAGCGGGCAGGGATGAGCAAGCGCTGTAGTGTGCGGGCACTGGAATGGAAACGGGCGTCACGTGGAGCTCTGGGTTTCGGTCTCGCGGGGACGCAGCTGACTCTGGGGTGGAGGAAGCGGCTGCTGAGCAGCGGAGAAAGGCTCCGGGTAGGCAGGAGGGCACTTCCCTCTCTTCCACAGGGAATACTGCCCCTTTCTGATGGGCAAAATGCCCCCCGCTCTGTAGGCACCAGGTCCCCGGTGTGCCCAGGTCCTGGACTCTCATGCAAAGGCAGGAGCGGTGATGCCTCCTGATGCAGCCCTTGTCCTGGGCATCCAGCACCCCCGGTGAGTCCCCAGTACCACCCCCATTGCACACCAGGCCAAGCATGATGCCACGGGACCCCATCCGGGAGAGGGTCCAGGGCACCTCAGCCATCTGACATGCACGCACCGAATGTTAGTAAGAAAGGGGGGAAGGAGCATTAGTTTGCACAAGCCGCATGGCCCCTGCCAATACCCTAGCCCAGCAGAAACCCCGAGCTCCCTCCCAGTCTCGTTTGGGGAGGGGAGAGGAGTTGCACGGGCAGAAGCTGCCCAAAGCAAGAGCAAGCTCGGCCCTGGCGCCTGGGGAGGGGAGAGAGGTGCAGGAGGAAGCAGAGAGGAGACGGAAAGGCTTCTTACTCATCAATCTTATCGGGGAAGCCCCAGCAGTGCTGGGGGTTGGTGTCTCCATGCCCCGTGTGGATGAAGCTGTTTTTAAGCGGCTGGCTGATGTCGTGGGCCGACAGCCCGGCCACCGAGGTCACCGTATTTCGGGGGAACTGCCCCACGTTTAGGGTCCGCTTATTCTGACCCCGCCACCAGTAATTCTCAGCCCTAAGGAACAAAAAGGCCCTCGTTACTGACAGCAGAGAGAGTCCGGCTCTGGTCAATGCCGCCCAGTGGGGGCCCCCGGCCCTGGGAGGCCAGGGGGGTGGGCATCTCACAGCCTGTCTGGAGCAGGGGATGCCACTGACACTGCCAGGGAGCACCTGCCTGCTGGCATGTCGAGGCTAAGTGACTGGCCCAAGGGCATAATGGCAGTCAGTAGCAGAGCCAGAGTCCTGACTCTCACTAGTGGAGTGCACTCCCCATAGAGAGCCAGGAGAGGAACCCCAGAGTCCTAGACCCTCGTCCCATGAGTCCCTCGGCTCTCCCCGAGCCTCATCAGAGGATCGCAAAGACCTCGCAGGTGAGGGAAGTGGTGGGCTCCGCTCCTGCTGGCACCACGGAGTGGGCAGGGGCAGGGATCGGTGCCCTCTGCACATGGGTATGACCAATACCCCCGTGGATGCCACTTGGAATTGGACCCATGGGCCAAAGCCGTGGCCAGGGCAACCAGCCAGGGCTGGTCATGAAGGGAGATGGGCACGCTGCTCACGTGTGCCCTCCCAGCCCCTGGGCCCAGCGGGCAGCAGCTGCCCCAGGCAGGGAAGAGCCAACTTCCTGGGAAAGCATCACCTGCCAGGCTGTGGGCACATGTGTGTGGATGTGGCATGTGTGCATGCACGCACACGTGTGTATATGGCACATGCGTGCACAGCTGCACCGCTGCCCCCTTACTGCCCACATGCTGAGCTCACTGCCGCAAACCTGTCAGGCCCTTTTACCAACCGTGGGCCCCGTACGGGGTGCAGGGCTGGCTGCACGGCAGGCTGGGCCTCGGGTCCCAGCGGGGGCTGATTCTCACCCGCCAGCAGCCCCCAGCCCTGTGAAAGCCCTGCCAGTCCCTCAGATGACCCCCGCGTTGCACACAGGGGGATGGGGCATGTCCTGCAGATCACCGTGCCAGGAGAGCCCACGCTCGCCTTTGCCTGCAGCTGCCAGGGACACGGATGCAGAGCCAGCTGTGCTGGGGCAGGACAAAGCCACCCGCTCCCAGCTGGCTTAGCCGATATCAGCCAAGCAGGCTGGACCGTCTACCCACAGTCACCTGCAGGTGAACCAGGAAGCAAGCTCCAAGCCAAGCACTTCCCTGAGGACTCCTAATCCTATTAGGAGAATAAGCCATAAAGCAATTTGTGCCATTAATAAACAAACCAGCACGCCGGTTGTCAGGACCGTTGGCACTGGCGTGTCGTTACCCGGCACTGACACGCAGCCACCTCTGGGGTGCAGCTGGCACCTCTCGCTGACAACACATGACACAGGGCGTGGAAATGATGCGGTGACGTGCCGGTGCCTGGCTGAAACGTGGCCGAGCCACACCTGGAGCACGGCTGTTACGGGATGTGTAAAGGCCACCAGTGGCCAGGAAAGTATCCCCAGCCCTGTCCCCGGATGGGCAATGAGCACAAGGGAGCACCTCCTCCTGGCATCAGTGCTCCTGTGTGCCACACTGGGGCACGAGGCAGAGCCCCCCTGCCCCAGGGAGCGGGGTGGGAGTGGGGCAGGAGCTGCCCTGAGCTGGTGTTTCTAGGGAGCAGGGGATGGAGCTGCCCCCACCCTGCCCTCTGAATGCCCTGGCCCACAGCAGTGATGCCAGCTCAGCCTGCGTACCCTGCCGTTTCCTGGAGGTACCTGTGACTCAGCCCGGTCGCGGCTCGGCTCTTTCCTGTTTACCTCCCCCGGCAGCCGGAGAGCTGCAGGGGAGCAGGCCCCAGACAGCCGCGGCTCCGCTCTGCTCCGGGGCGGGCGGCCAGGATGTTACTCAGCCGGACCCCGGAGCGAGCAGAGGCAGCGTCTGACTGGCG